CGAGCAAACTTGGAGAATATTACAATACTATAGTAGTTAATATTTACTATTACTAATTTTGAATCATTTCCATTTGCTTGCCAATGCGATCAATGTTACTTGTGAAATGTCTATAGCAAACGAATTGTCCATTGTTGCTTTAACCAGAGAGTGCCCGCAATGTATCTCTCAGATATAGCTGCAACTTTTTGTGAATGTGAATTGATCTAAAGCTCTATTTACTGAAATATGTACTATATTTAGTTTGTACATGTTCCCCAATGTCATTGTTAATGAACCCTCCACTGCAGAATCTTGTCTAAATACTTGTGTCGAGAAAGGTAAAAATTGACAAAGAACACAAAGATAATTAAACATCTTATTAACTAATATTAAATACAATTTTCACAAATTATTTAGAAAGTGTCTTATAGTTTCCGTTATAAAAGGTTCTCGTTGTTTTTTGGTGTTTTTTTTTTTTTTCAATTGCTTACGGATCATATTTCTCATTGGAAAGAAATAGTGGCAGTCGATTTTATACAATTGATAACATTTTCTGTTGGCATTTCTCATCGACACGGCTGAAAATAATGCCATGACACGTACCGCTTACGTCAGGAACTCGGAATGCATTGGCGCCATAGCACGAAACGTAGTATCTGACATCGCGCAGCGCAGCGATCAAGTTTCAACATGCTCACGGGAAATTATTCAACGAAAGGATAAAAATAGAAGGCCAGGCGTTCTCTGAAAAGTACAATTAAGGAATATATGAAATATCAGACGACCAATGCATCGCAATAATTCAGGTACATAAAAATTGCCGTGGCTTGAACTCGCAAATCTATTGCGAACACTCCCAGGTTAACAACGCCACGTTGTAGCGAGAGCCCCTACCGCCACCTCCGATGCACTGTATTTTTTATTATTTATGTTATTATGTTTTTTACTTTCTCGCATATATAGCTTACGCAGTATATTTTAAGGATAGAATACGCGCCAGATTTATTCGTGAACTCACTGAATTCAATGTTTGAAATATATTTTCATTTAAACTTTTGAATACAAAAAAAAATTCGCGATTCGTGTGTTTACGAATGTGATATTTGAAGTGTAAGAAAGGCAGAAATTGTGACATACAATTATATAATGATATAAGAGTAATATTGCGAGAAAGAATGCACTGTCGTAGCACAATCTCGGTTTTGCCACAAATAAAGCTGTTTTGTCGTGCTAAGAGGGAAAACCTGCGATTTTTTTTTTGACAAAAACAAAACAAAAAAGCATTGGCGGTGATAAGTATCTTGTTTCAGTATATAGAAAATTACTTCCGCTAACACATTCTGTAGTCAGAATTCATAATTTGTGGGTCATTCACCCCGAAAAAAATCGATTGAACGTAAAACGTCTGTGGTCAACTCTAGCACCTAAACCGTACAGACTATTTTCTTCAGTTCATTGATATTCCCCGATAGATCTGATCGAACTCGTGGCCCTGCGATTTTGAAACGGAAACGTTCATTTCGGGGGTACTTTAAACGAAACCTCAACATTTTCTCAAAACGGACACAAACTTTTGAATTAAACTTTGCTATTCAATTGCATAAATAACTTAAAAAACTGCAGCATTTTGGTAAAATCTTCAATTTTTTGAAAATTGTGAAAGTTCGACTTTTTTTGCGTTTTCTCCACAATTTTAAAATTGAAGATGGTGAATTTTTACCCGAACGTAATCTGTTATTGAAAGGCACGTCTTGAGATAAGGTAATGGACAATTTTTCAAATATAGTTCAGTTTTCGCGTAATTTTGTGAAATCTTCACGTTTTTGCGTGAAATATAGACAAATTTTAAAAAATAATTTTCTTTTATTTTCTCAAAACCAGGCTCCAAATAATTTCTTCAATATTCTCCTCGTATATATCAAAAAGCGGTATAAAAACTAGCGTTGGTCCCATTTTTCAGCAAACTCTCTGTATTTGCAAAACTTACTAAATAATATCAACAGCACGTACTTCCTCGCATTAGTAACAGGTAAAATTTTAACACAGCAATTTGGATAAACTGTGACGTTTATCGGCGCCCGATTTCGCGATAAATAAAGGCAGAGAATTTCTTTTAAAGAACAGTCCAAACCCAAGTTTTCAAGCTGGGTTCATTTCAAGAAAAGGTAGAAGCCTCGATTACATCAGTAACATATCCAACAGTGCTAGTGTTTCATTTGAAGCGGTTTTGATAAAAATTTTACGTCATTTTTGTTTTTAGGACATTTTTAAAGAATTTCAAGAGCATTTTTTTTAATCATTTTTAGTAATGTTTTAAGTGATCAAAATCTGCCCCTAACATATTACCAACCATTGTGCTTTAGGCGCGAAAATTAAATTCATTTAAAGCTAAAACCAATATGAATTTGACAATACAAAACTGTTCCATTCACACTGCATTCTGTTATTTTCCAAACTCCCCCTTTTAGTATTGTGATCTGACGAATCCTGAACGATTCTAACAAATAAAATGTGGGTAATTTGAATCAGAAATTTCAAAGATCAATGTTAGAGTCAGAGTTTATGATGTTAGTTTATTTCCATTTAAAGGTTAGGTAAAAATTCCTTTTTACCATTGAATTCAGTGTACTGTGATATATTATTAGAAAAAGTTCAAATAAATAAAAGCAAAAATGTATACTCCGGCTGGGATCAAACCTGTGCACTGCAACTGTTATTTCTATGAAAGAAGGTTTGGGTTGTAGTTGTACAGTGAAACCTGTCCAAGCCAGAAAGCTTCCTTAACCGAAACACATCTCCAGCCCGTGATGTTTAATGGCATTTTACACAGCATAAAACGAAATCTCTCCAACATGAAAACAGAATGGTTTTTTATGTCCTGTGAGGAAAACTGGGGTCACTTTACTCCCATGGCATAGGTCTTAGGGGAATTCCCTCTCCCTACTCTCTGAGCATGGGAAGGTGTACGGGCATGATTCTCCCTACCCTACAATGAAAATGACATAATCCCTCGAACAGATATGCACTGCTCAAGGCCATGAGATGATATCAGAAAGTCATAGTACTGGGTTGCGACACATTGTGTGTTGAAAGAGTCAGCAAGCAACAAAAATATTTTAAGAAAAAAATTTGGAACTATTTTTGAGCAAACCGTGTTTCTGAATTTTTTAAATTATTCAAAATTAAACAGAGACATTTCATTACTTTGAAAAAAGTTGTACCAAACAAAGATCTAACTGTAAAGAGCACAATTCATGAAAAATTATTTTGAAGTTTTCTTGGTGGATAGAGGGGGTTTAATTTTCTTAAACTTTTACAAGTTTCAAAAAATTTAGTTTTCAATGAAAATCTGACATGCACAATGATCATAAAAGGTACATTTGGAGCAATTTTTGAAGAAATTTCCAACAGGACTTCAGATTAATGCAACAATTTCTTGTAACAAAATTACCTGGAAACTATTACTACTACTATCTTGAAAAAATTGAATGTAAAAGTTTCATTTTGTGAAAAAAAATTCTATCCTCAACAATTTAGTTGAAGAGAGGAAACCAATATTTATTTTTACTTTAGAAACTTTTTTGGTTTTACTGAAAATTAGACTGACCCCTATAAAATGAGCAGACTTTGCTTTAAAATTTAGGGGTGGGGGGAATCAAAGCTATTCTTGAGAAAATCTCAAATGTCCTATAATAAAGTAACCACAAAAATTAAAATACCAGTTTCAAATAAAAGGGGACATGAAATCAGGCAGAATGCTCAGAGAAAACTACAGTAATTTGAGAGACAAGCCTTTGCTGTTCAGAAACTATTCAGAGGGAGACCAAACTAAGTATCAGAAACTGAACAGGGGCTATACAACCCTGGTCCCATCGCCACTGAATGTATTAGTTGCAAAAGCAGCTGAAATGTTCAGTAGGTCACTTAACTGGACCGTGTTTGAAAGCCCAGTAAGCAATATCATCAAAGACAGCAAAAACAATTTTTCGGGTCCCAGACTCACAAAACATTAATTTAACAACACTATGTATTCAAGAAGGCAGTTACTACACAAAGAAACAAGTAAAATCCACCTTTTCAGTGCCAGGAACCCATGTAATTTATGTCAAAAACATAACAGTTATTTGTGTTGAAGGGTCATAAACCAAGAACGAAGAACAATTTCCTTTTATTTGAATTAATTCTTCAATATGCAAACAGGTTCTGTAACTTCACACCACATGAAATTAGGTGCAAATCAATGTCAGAAAAATGTAAATTCTGTGAAATTTCAAATTTTTTTGTGGTTCATGCATATTCTGATAATCATTTAGATTGATTATATTAATGCAACTAATTCAGAAAATTTAAAATTACATTGACATAATTACTTCTGTATCCTTTAATTTTTAAAGCCTTATTTTAATTATTTTTTTCAAGTGTTTTAGTTAAATTCTCTTATTTCTCTCCTGAAAAGAATTTTCCTCCCAGTCATAAAGGAGTGTTTAATAAATCATGGTAGTATTAATGGTGAATATAAATGAAAATATTTGTAATTATTTATTTGAGTGCTCTAAACATTTTTTGTAACAAATAAACTTATTCTCACTGAAGAGAAAGTATCGAAAAGTTGGCATTCAGTTCTGTTATGTGTTTAAAAAGGATGAAATACTTAGCTTTGAAACAACTTGAACAACCTTAATATTGATCACATTTTGCTGTATCTACAAATAAAATATATTCAATCAAACAAGTAAACACAATTTTTTATTATAAAACTTGTAAAAAAATATAATATTGCTACACCGAGTTTTGGCATTCAACCAGTTTGTTTGGTTAGCTGATACGAAGTGAGCTCTTCAATTTTTGTTATGCAACAATCCAGATTAGAAGATCCAATTTAGAAGTTCTAAAGCGTAGGTGATTGAACATTTATCAAGATTTAAGCAGAGAGATTTTTAATATTGTAATTTTCTTAATTTACCTAATATGTATTTTTTAAATTACCTTCATTATCAATGGTAAATGGCTGATCGCTGGTCAAGATTTCATATTTACAAACATCTCCATACTTTGGCGTGCAATCTCTATCAGTGGCTTCCACACGAATAATTTCCTCATAAAGACGTCCTTCGTCCACTTGGTGTACGTATGATGGATCAAGAAAGGTCGGTGGATATTCATTAATATCCACGACTGTGATATGCACTGTTGCACTAGAAAAAGATATTTAAATAAAAAATATTATAAAATAATAAAGCTCCACATAAACATAACAATATGAGCAAGTAACAAACATAATAATATGAGAAGTATGGAGAAAGTATTTTGCAACTAAGCCACATTGCATGTCAATAGTGTTATCAATTGTCTTTGGGTAGCATTTGATCGAGTGGAGAAGTCAAATTCACATTCTCATTCTTATGCTTTAATGAATTTCATAATTGACCATCAAATCCAATTCAAAGACAAATCATGAAAAGAAAAATAGTAAACTTCTTTCAAATGTACAAAATTTCAGCATCACATCTTTATTTTATGCTATAGTCTATTGGTCACTGCAAGAAAGTATTATTTTACAGGACATAACCGAAGAATCTGTTCGCCTACATCACTCAAAATTAAATTAATTTCCAATCTTTACAAAATATTCTCACAATTATTCACAAAAATCAGAACATGAAACTAATGTAAAAAATATTTTGAGTGGATGGTTATTTGAAAATTATAAACTTCTTATAAGTATTTATAAACTACATAACGTATCCAAAAACAACAATTATATACTTTTCAGACAAAGCTATAATATTCTTTAGTATTCTTAACGCCAAATGTAGAAACAGTTTTTGTAAATACTGGGATATTTCCTTCATCAAATATAGCGATGTGTTGGTGTGTAATGCACAAGAGATTAAGAAGAGAAAATGTACTTGTTTTTAGACGATGATCACTGTTTCAAGACTGTAGGTCAGCAAATTATTTCACTGCCTACAGAAGATTGTGCGGCTAATGGAACATCATAATTTAAATTTTTTATGTAGATGATGCCAGCTCATACACTTGAATTTATTGGCAAAGGTCAGTGTGATGTCACCCCGTTTTTTCCCATTGCATAACGTTTTCAACTAAAAAAATGACATGAAATAAAAAACTCTATAATAACTTAATCTTGACCACAATGCCAGAGCAAGGAGGTGAATTTTTTAAGGCAATGTGTAATAATTGGCATCTTTACATTTTGCTTGTGAACAAATGCACATTTTTTCTTTCTATAAAGAACACCTATATCTCCCTACTACTTGCCGAGGATCACATCAACATGATAATCCACTCTCGAGAATCTTGATATCACAACTAACTACAAGGTTATCATTCTCATTTTAAGGTAAAAAAGGCTGAAACCTGTGACCTTCACAATTTCATTATTCCTCCTCCACATTGATATAAATATGACAGTATAACTCTCTTCAAGTAAGCATCAGTAATGAATTGGCGCTTGAAGTACTACCACAAAGATGAAAAGTTTTGTCTGCGAAGTCTGATAAAGAATTTATTCTCACAGTGACAAGCAGGTGTGCGGCACTGGTCAGCATGTGTGTGGCACTAAACTCTTAATATAATGAATCAAGTCCAGTATTTGTAAGTCATAAAAGATACATTAGTGCCTGTTAACTGTGTGGTTTAGAAAAACTCTTATTTCCAAATTATTGTGTGTCATACCCTGTTAGGAGAAGAATCTCAAATTACTTTAAGGGAATTGAACAGTGTACTGTCAGACCCTGCTAATAGTCCAAACCTAATCCCAACTAGTATAATTTTAGCTTAGTTAACAGGAAAGAGAAGGGAAAAATAAATAAAATAAAAATTAAAGCAAAACAATGACAAAATCTAGTGAGAATGCCCCAGTCACATTGGCAGCAAAATTACTGTAATAAGAAAGCAATGTATGACGCCCATAAGAATTATGACACTCGGTACATTAGTAGACAACAGAGTAATGTATACAAAAACAGTTAAACTTCTTTATAATGTTCTTCCATATAGTGCTTCCTTCTATGTTGGGTCATTTTTTTCCGGTCCTGACCAAAAGCCCATATAGACAGTCTTCCTCTATACAGAGTTCAGAATTCATGGACCCTAAAATCGTTATATAGAGGTTTCACTGTAATTTGAAAACTGACTTGCATTTTGCAACTTTTTTTTGAAACTGAAATATACCTCTCTTCAAGAATTACTACTTTTAGTCTAATTATTTGCACACCTTTGTATGTATTTCAAACACACTGAATGAAAATTAAAGTGATATTATATCACTTAAAGTCCCAAAGTTTCAGAACATCAAACATATAAAAGGTAACTTACTTATCAGACACATCACCAGCACAGCTAACTGCAGATATATCAAATTTGTAATTTTTACGTTTTTCACAATTAAGAGCTTTTCGTGCCCTGAGTATTGCTTCTGCTTCAGTTTTTGTTTCATCTTTATCTTTTAGTATTATCTACAAAAAGTAAAAAGTAACATTTTATTTTCAGTTTAACACATAACAAAACAACAATAGGGAATCAAGATATTGTACATCAATCAGTAGTGAATGTTCAATTGATATGATTTTATACATTTGTACTTAAACAATAATAAACAATACATTTCCGTAGAAATCACTACCTCAATAACTGAGGTAGAGTGAAATAATTGTTCAAGTATTATAAATGGTGATTTTGCAGAAGTATTAATCCCATTTTTTACATAAATAATTAAAAAACCTACTAAAATATTGAAAGAGTACATACTTCAAATGGAGCTTCACCATGATGTTTATTGACAATTCTAAAGCTGCAAATCTCCGCACCAACAGCCCTAATTTTTGGCCTCACTTCAACAATGGTTTCATTTTCTTTAACTAAACCATGGTAGCCGCTTTCCAAGTTGGGCAGGTCAAGGCGTGGAACTGCAAATAACATTGTGGTTAAAACTCAATAACAAATTTCCAAGAATTCCTAAAAGAAAATAACATTTAAAGAATATTATATACCAAAAATAATGGAATAAAATAAAAATTAGCACAAATTTGTAAAATGTTTAATTAAAATTATTAAAAATTCAAATTAGAAAACAGATATCAAAGGATTGAATAACATTAAATTCTTTGTAACAGTTAAGTTATTAGAAAATAACAACCACACTCAAGGGGACATTTTCCCTTTAATAAGAAAAATTTATTAATGGACATTTTTTATACTTTTAATCTCATCACAAGTTTATTTTCCTTTCTCTGAAGCACTTTCCCATTAAACACAGTATAAATATCATTCGCGCATTTCAGTATAAAATGTTTGAGAATTTAGTAAGTAGTCTACAGTAAATATGAGATTATAGTAAAGTTTGACATTTCTTCTAATTACCAGAAAGTCATGGCAGACCAATCACATTGTGACCGACCCTATTATTTCACAATAAAAGAATATGAAACTAAACATGACATTAAAGAAAAGGGACATATCCTTTATTTGAATTCTCACTTACACAATATTTCAAAAATTAAATATCTTTTGACAAATTCCAAAACAATTTTTATAACTTCTTGATATGAAGACTACAAAAATTCAATTTCTAGAGAAATGAATGAAATACAAAGTTTCATAAAATTATATTTTACTTTTGGACAGTCATTCTTATTAATTCCCATTTTACAGTGCACCTGAACTTCACATGCATGTATTTAAAATTAATTAATCATTTAGTTAAATTTAGAGTACTAAGAATTTTCACTTCATTAAATATAAGAATCTACTGCATTTTGAAATCTTAAATTAAACAATCTACTTAAGTATATAAGAGTGAGAGAGTATGTGTACATTTATACACATACATCAGACAGAACCAACATCAATACAGGAAAATGACAAATAATAACAAAGCTGCCATGAAAAGTGCATTTTTTCTCAGATATGATACAAGAGAATATATTCTCATACATACCACAGAAATTGTTTAACTACCAGTTTAAGTAAAATCAAGAATTGTATGGTCAATAGATAGTAAAAACAGGATCAAATATAGTGAAATTTACAACATAGTAAAAATTAAACAATTCCTCGAAACAAAATTCAGAAGTTTGTGGGGTCTAATAATGATTCACAAAATGCTATGTCATTTTGGTTTTAGGTGTTGATAAGTTGGATATGTAAGCTTTTTTTTAATGTGATCTCATAAGAGAAAGTTCAAGGAGGTCAAAACACAATTTTCTCTAAAAATGTCCAGACAGAATGCAGTCATTGTAAGTATGCAATTTGTCAAAGTTTCTTAGTAATAAGGCACAAGGGAAATATTTTCATTTACTCAATTTTCATTTATTTCATCTACATGAGAAGGAAACAATACACATTTAACAAAAACATACCATTAATTGCAGAGATTTTCAAACACAAGACAACTACAAGAAATCACAACAATTTTATAAATAAAAGTACTACAGATACAAAAGCAACAAAAGGGTGAGGAATTATTTCACCATTATATTACTTCTGCCATAATCAGACATTTTTTTCCATTATTTTCTTTTTTCAAATATTTGAACTTTCAAATTAACATTCACAGACAAGTACATGCCTGTGGAAAGAACAATGAAAATTAAAACAGATCTAATATCTTTTGAAAATCAGTATCTGTGGCACATTCACCCATTCTCTACTTACATCTAAATCATTTATTCAATTCTCAAAATTAATTTAATACAAATAACATTTAATGAAAGCAAGTGGAAAAACTTACAGTAAAATAAAAAAATTCAACACGAAATGCACATCTAGGGGGTCACAAAAATCTATTGTACACAATTTTCTTTGCTATAGTTATTGGAAGAGCCTTTAAAAACAACTTGCTCTCATTTATTCAAACTTAGACAACAGATGTTTATATCATAAGGAAGTTTAACGCCTTCAAGACGTATCTACTGCCTACAGCACTTTCAAATTTGGTGAATTGATGCTGCTTTTACTACCACAATTTCTGAGACATTTGAACTCTAAAATATAAAGAGCTTGTGAAAAAAAATATTTTTTTTACTTTTAATTGTATTGACTAATCCACCTGGAGATACAATTATGTCCTTTTGCTTATCTGTTAATCAATGCCATCGCTTTCTTATCAATTAGTACATAATTTTAATTCATTGTACAATTATACTTAGAAAATTAATAGGAATTACAGGAAATTTGAATGATACAAAGAATTTAAAAAACAACTAATCCCTACATACTTCCACTTTATCTTTATCTGTACATTAATGTTACTGGCAATTGGCTTTGTATGATAAGAATTTTTCAATTAATACAATTATTCATCAAATACACGCAACACAATTTATGCAAATTTACAAAATCTATCTAAATTATATGCTTGCCTTTTGCAAATCTCAAAGGTTATTAATTTTTTTTGTTAACATAAACAGAAAACAACATGCAATATAATTCATGGTATTACAAAAGTTTAAAGCAGTTGATGTTTCAAAATAACAGTAAAACAAAAAAATTGTTCCTGATTACTGGATCCCAGTTAATAAAGTGTAAATATTAGTGTTCACTAAAACGAACGTATTTATTTTCAAATGTACGCAAGATCAATCGGAAAGGTAGGACAAGACATTTCTTTTTCCTAAACTAAGGTCATCAAGGTTGCTTCATACAACCACAGAATCAACAATACATTTTGCAAAGCATTATTTGAATTAGCAAACCAATTTGTTTACCTCAATTGGGAAACTGGTTTGCCATACAAGTATTTTACAATCGTCGGAATACAACATTGGCAATCCACACTTGGAACAAAGCTCCAATGTGTCAACACATGAATCGAACTTCCGGGGCAGGTGAAAATGGTGTACGGTATTAAATACTTTATTTCACATATAATGTCAACAAGACTCCTTTTTTAGACATTTGACAACTACAGAAACTCCAGCAAAACATAATAACAAGACTAACCAGTAGCAAATGTAGAGAAAATGCTTTGCTTACCACCATCTGCAGGTGCTCCCGATGTGACATTTGCCGAAGTAGCGTATCCGAGAAACGCTACTACTATTATGTACTTTCCCCACATCGGGCAGTGCAGAGAACTAAAACCCGTACTGCGTTTACAATAACAACACAATACACAATAGGAACCTTCTGTAGTCTTCACACAACCATAATCAAACTTGGAAACCTCAACGACAGGGCCGTAGACGCAAGAAAAACACTGTATGGGAGCATTATAGATTCTTCACACTTCGTTAGTACCCCTCATACCGCTGTACAGGAAGTTAAACCAAACGCTCACCAGATAGCGCTTAGTTGCTGCAGCTTCGATACAACTCGTGTATTTCCGCCGACATTCGACGTTGTAGAAAGAAATCACTCCAAGCAATCCTGGAAAGCTCTACTGCCATCTAGCGACCACATATCAATACTAAAATCGTGGCGTCTTCACAGTTTGACTACGTGAGTTGGAGATTAAAAATAACAATCAAGAAGAAAATCTATGGCAACCCAGCGCACCTGCGCACGTAACGTGACCGGTGACGTCATTCTATTGACCGACAATGATAGGGAGTAATAAAACAATTCTTATTTACGTAAAATCTGAAGCTCTTGTAATTAAATGTTATTCCTTAAATATCAATATTCGATTTGTATGTTCACATATGCATACAGAATACAGAGCGTTACCTGCTCTTTCTTCGAAGATACTTTCTTGCTCAATACAAAAAATCTGTTTCTCGCGCTGACCAGTGCAATATGCTGTTAAGCGATTTTATCGTGTCTATAGTTTACGCAGAATGAACGATTCTTTACCCGATATGAAATATTCACGCGCCACCCTTTCAATATGTCATTATTATACATAGCCTTAAATGTATAGTTATTTGACAAAAGATGAAAACTGCAGAAATACATCACATGCGATGGTTCAAATTCTCCGGAGGTAAACATGAGCGTAAGTTCAAAACGTATACAATTGACTTCAAAAGACAATAACTAAATCGAAATTCTCCACAAGAAAAGAAAAAATCCGCTCATGACACGTATATTTTATTGTGTAGCAGGGAAAATAAATGTAAGTTACTCAATGTCATTTCCGATGTGGCCTTGCCTGTCCTTTCCGCTTTCCTATGAACCAATAGTAATCATCTACTCTTATAGGGAGGAACTTGTGGCGTTGGAGGCTGTTACAGAGTGGACGCAGAGAGGGGAAGCGCTCGCTTCTCTGTAAATATTACAGGACAGTCACTTGTGTACGAAAAGAAGGCATCTCCAGAGTTTCCTACAGTGCTGTCATATTGAATTGAAGTTTCACGTTTGGAGGCAAATTCTGGCAGGAAATTTGAAATGTTAATATATTTAATCATAAGCTGCTAAAGGCTGCCGAAGAAATAATATAATCACATTAAATAATACAATGTGTTTGCAATTTTGACCTATTTCAGACTCATACATTCTTTCTATGTACCATATTTAACAATTCTAGAGATGTCGGAAACTTACATCAAATTATGAAATACAATATAATTTCAATAAAATAAGATATTATTATTATTATTATTATTATTATTATTATTATTATTATTATTATTATTATTATTATTATTATTATTATTTTGATTAAGTTTTGCAACATCGTTTATATTGAAACGTATACCTACGTTTTAGGCGGGGTTGATTATGACCGAAAAAAAAGACGTCATTTGAATCGGCGGGCGAGGGAGCGCGTTCGGTAGAAGAGCCTCGCTACCGCCGGAAATTGGATGCTAAGGGAAAGGGGTTTAAGAAAATACACGATAATGAAACGGGAGTCTTTGCGGGGCGTGAGAGAACGGAAGAGAACAGTTCACAAATTGGCAGTAATAAGTCAAGGTGAATGTGTGATTCGGCGTTGGAAGTTTATGCAACAATCGTTACATAGTGAAACTTTGAGGCGGGTGGTAGTAGCTCAGTTAAAATAGACAAATTGAGTTAAATAAATACCAAAGTTATAAAATCTGGTATGTTTGTACATTGGTAGCTACAGTGCTGGATATTAAAAATCCTGGAGAATGGGGTATGAGCCGGGGGTGGGGGAGCAGGAAGAGTGGTATTTCTAAGTTTTGAGCATATTCTATAACTATCAATTCTTCAGAAAATTATGTCATACACAAAATTAATGTAGAAATAATTTCTTACAAAAAAGGTCTTACTAATTTTTGTAACGGATTAATATTCTTGAAGTTATGGGTGGACAATACATTGATATTTAAAATATATATTTATTTGTAAGAGATTCACCATTAGTTTAAAGACAATTAGGAGTAGCTATACAAAATGTATAGAAATAACCGAACAAAGTTCTTGATCTTTGGGCATATCTTCATCAAGTTCATCTTCCGATGGAGGGCCGAACGTGCGTGCTCCATGCTACTTACCACAGACTGAAGGAGGACGCGTATCTTATACCGGCCTTACGACATCACCATTCTACCCCACTTCGAACAGTACATTTGCAAAAATTATCTTCAAAATTGTGTCAGATGTCGAGGCCTTTTTGTTTTTAGGAGTCCTTGTGTTCTACCGGCGCATTGTATCCAACCCCACTCAAGTGGGAACTGATTGTCCAACCAGATTTCAGTGGTGGCTGGTGTCCCACCCTCAAAAAAGAGGGTTGCAGCTCCATCGAATGTTGGGATTGTAATTTACACAATTCATAACACTAAAATATTATAAAACGTAAGCAACTCATGAAAATTCATGAAAACTAAATTGAATAAGTATCGCTATTAAAAAATTCCTCTTCCTCTTCTTCCTTTCACGGTTTAGGCCTGAAAGCGTGTTCCGGCTTCATTTCATCGTTGCCTTGGTCGACTAGGATCTCTTTTTCTAGCTTGTTGATAATGGTAGGTCACTTTTGTGAGTATATCGTTTGTAGGTGTTGTGACCACGCTGAACGTGTCTCCTTTACTTTGTCTAATATGGAGAAAATTTTCGAATGTTTCGGATGTTTTCGTTTCTGAACTGGTCTAGGAGGCTACAACATTTTACTGCTCTTAAAAATCTCATCTTATATATTACTATGACAATATCCATGACTCGCTTTCATACAGTAAAACTGGTACTGCCATTACTTTGTACATTTTTAGATGCGTCTCTCTTCTTATCTTCTTCGATAGCGTCCGTCTTGTTATGCCGCACATTTGTTGGAAGCCACGGAGTTTTATATCGATGTTTGATTTTCGTATTCATCGCCAAGCTCAAATCACAGCCAAGGTAGTTGAAAAGTCTTACGTTCAATGTCCAACATTGAATTGTAAATATATATTTTTGATCTGACGAGAAATTTGCCTTGGAAAGCCATTGCTTTACTTTTTTGATAGAGATTTTGAGGTTGTAATCTTCCAAGTTATTACTCAATATATGAGCATTTTTCTGGATTTCATTTTCATTTCTAGCAATTAAGACCTGGTCGTCTGACGGTAAAAAGAGAATTTAAATAACTCACATTTCACAAATAGATTACATCTGAACATCCTCGATTACAATCTCTAAGAGCGGCGTCTAAATATATATTCAAAAGTGTTGGGGACAAACTGCATCCCTGTCATACTGTCGTACTCCTTTATTTACTAAAATGATTTGCTCTTTAGGTGATCCGTAAGTAGGTAGTTATACTTATAACTACCTCCATTCCATTATACACTATTTGATCAAAAGTATCCGGGAGCGTGGCTGAAAATGACTTGCCAGTTCGTGGCGCCCTCCATCGGTAATGCAATAGGGTGTTGGCCCACCCTCAGCCTTGAGGACAGCTTCCACTCTCGCAGGCATACTTTCAATCATGTGCTGGAAGGTGTCTTGGGGAATGGCAGTCCATGCTTCACGGAGTGCGGCCCTGGAGAGGTATCGATGTAGATCAGTGAGGCTTGGCACGAAGTCGGCGTTCCAAAACATTCCAAAGGTGTTCGATATGATTCAAGTCTGAACTCCGTGCAGGCCAGCCCATTACATGGATATTATTGTCGTGTAACCACTCCGCCACAGGCCGTGCAGAATGAACAGGTTGCCGATCATGTTGAAATATGCAATCGCCATCCCCGAATTGCTCTTCAACAGTGGGAAGCAAGAAGGTGTTTAAAACATCATCGTAGGCCTGTAGCGTGATAGTGCCACTCAAAACAACAAGGGGTGCAAGCCCCTCCATGGAAAACACGACCACACCATAACACCATTTTGGACGTGGCCAGATCTTTTTATCACATAGTGTATAATAACTTTATACTTGCCCTTATTTCCTTGGGATAGTATCCTCTTGTCTATAATATTTGCCACAGTCTTCTTCTTATCACTCCACCAGAAATCTTTCTCGATATCTATGAAGAGAATATAAGTTTTCAAATTATATTTCCTTCTCTTTTCAATTATCTGTCTCAAAATAAAGATGTCTGAGCACGAGCGGCCTTGCCGGAATCCGTGTTGTTTATTTAATAGGTGTCTTGCACTAATAGTTTTTTATATATTGTTAAGGATTCTGGCATATACCTCATAACCGGTATTGAGAACACTGATTCCTCGATAGTTTCCAGGTTCACTCCGATCTCCTTTCTTAAAAATGGGGTAACTTCTGCAGTCATCCAGGTTTGGAGAATTATTCCATTTTCCAAAATATGTTCAGTAAATGTGACAGCCTAAGTTTAAAGAGAAAGCTACTAAACTTAAATAGTTCTGGATTCAACACCTCCGTTTCGGGTGCTTTTCTATTCTTCATTTTGGTAAGAGCTGTTCCCATTTCGTTCAAACTGAGTTCATATATACTGTAACGAATATTGCATCACCTGCCGGATTCACTGCGCGTGGATTGCGTCATCTGCCGGCGCCCCTTCCCTTCCCCCCGAACTGGACGGTTCCGGACTATTCGCGAGCCACGGGGAAACGCGGAGAATGTGCCGGGTGTATCGAGACGAGCGCCGGTCAGGAATAAATGCGCTGCTGCCGGTGGCTGCGAGTCAGTCAGTAGCAGTCAAGTCAGTAAGAAGTTAGTCAGTGTAAGTTAGTGTAAATATGTCAGTGTAAGTCAGTGTACGCAATCAGTGAATAAGCAGTCAGTCCGTCAGTGTGTCCGATGTGGAAGCTGTGCTGTAAAGTGTGCATTGCGGTGAACAGTGGTGCAGTGAGTGAACAGCAGTCAGCAGTCTGAAGTCTGCAATGGAAGCTGAGCTGTGAAGTGTGCATCGCGGAAAACAGCAGTGCAGTGGACCCTGGTGTGCGCAGTGAAGTGAGATCTGCGCAAGGAATTGTGGTCTGCGCAGTGGACTGAGAGCAGTGCATCGGACTGGGTGATACTGTAGAAGAAGAGGACAGTGTACATAAATAGTGTGTAAGAAGTGAACTGTGTAAATAAATAATCAAGAGAACGGAGTCGTGTGTAAAGAAAAATAATTAAGTGAAG